CCGCCCCTCTCTCCGTCTCTCTCTCCCCCTCTCTCCCTCTCTCTGTCTAACACACACACACATATACACACAGGAGGATCAGATGAGTGGGACACACACACACTCTCTCACACACACAGGAGGATCAGATCACTGGGACTTTCACACACACACACACACACACACACACACACACACACACACACACACACACACACACACACCAGTCTTGTACTCATTTATTAATAGCTATGTATATATTTATGTATATATATATCTATATATATATATATATATATATATTTCGGACTTCTATCCATGGGGCAGTGTACTGATTTGAATAAAAATGGCCCCCATAGGCTTATATATTTGAATACTTGGTTCCCAGTTGGTGGAATTGTTTGGGAAGGATTAGGAGATGTGGCCTTGTTGGAGCAGATGTGTCATTGGAGACAAGCTCACACCAGGCCCAGTTAGGTGTCTCTCAGTTTTGTGACTGTCTCAAGATATACACTCTCGTGGGGGAGGAGAGATGGGGGTGAGGGGAGGGAGAGGTAGAAGGGACTTACATGTGAAACAAGCTTGTTCCCTAACATGAATTAATAAAAAAAAAAAGAGGAAAAAAAAGATATACACTCCAGCACTCTGCCTAACTGCTGCCAACTCCTTGCTATGACAGTCATTGCCTCAACCTCCATAACTGTAAGGTCCTAATAAACTGTTTCTTCTATAAGTTGCCTTGGTCATGGTGCATTAGAACAGCAATAGAAAAGTAACTTAGACAGGCAAGGAGGGCCAATGGACAACATTGTTAGATGTGGGGACTTATTCTGATTCTGAGTGCCAATTTCTAACATTTACTGTGTTGCAGATATTCAGACATGGGTTTGTATTGCACCTGTTGAGGCCAGGGATAACCATGGATGTCATTCCTCAAGAGTCATCTTTTACTTTCCATCCCCTTTTTGGAGAGAGGGACTTTCCAGGGTGGCTTGGAGCTTACCCAGTAGGCTAGGCTAGCAGGCCAACAAGGCTCAGACATCTGATTCTCTAGCACTGGCGTTTAAGCATGTATTATTATGTTTGGCTTTTTTCTGAATTATTTATTTTTCATTTTATGTGTATTTGTGTTTTATCAGCATTCATATGCACCATGCTTGGGGCCTGAGGAGGTTAGAAGGAGCTGTTTGAGCTCCTGGAACTGCAGTTCCAGAGCACTGGGAATCAAACTCAGGTCCTCTCCTGAGGTGTTCTTACCTGCTAAGCCACCTCTTCAGCTCCCATGTCTAGGGGAGCTTTTTTAACAAGGGTTCTGGGGATCGAACCCTTCGTGCATGAGCTGTAAGCACTTTACAGACTAATCTGTCTCTCCAACCCCAGACAAAAGACTATTGAAAGAACAGAGTAACAAACAGATGAATCTCAATGCCAACCATGTGAAAGAGAAATTAAGTGTGAGCACTGTGAATTTCTGTCTGAGATCCAGGGGTCTCTGGATCAAAGACTTTGCTTAGAGCTTGTTTTGTGAGAAATGGACAAGGAACAAAGAGAAGCAACAAAACCTGTAAATATCAGAAAGCCTGGAAAAGCTCCTGGGAAAAGTGGGTATGTATCTCAGGGATAGAGCCATTGTTTAGAATGCACAGGACCATGGGCTCCATCTCCAGGTATGAAAAAACAAATGAATAAATAAATAAACAAACAAAAGACACAAATTTCTGACTCTTAATTACAAAGGGCCAGGATGGAACTCAGATACCTGGTTGCATGAACCTTCCTTAAAAACATATCTTAGAAATTGGGTGTGGTGGTTCATGCCTGTAATCTCAGCACTCAGGAGGTGGAAGCAGGCTGATTGCTATGCAGTCACATCCAGCCTGGACCACATGGTGAGTTGAAGGCTATCCTGGGCTTCAGTATGGGACCCTGCATCAAAATAACGATAAGAATTTAAAAAGAAAACTAAGAAAAAGCCCCATATCTTAGGGTTTGCAGTATGACCTTGAGATTTTTATTTTCATGAGAAAATTTTTTTATTTCATGACTACTAGTTCATGAAAATGAGTACTTTACTATCTATCATATATCATAATTATATAACTATTATATTATGATTATATAATTACAGTTATAATTATACTATGCAATTCTAATATATTACATGTATTTATTTATTTATATTGGAGAAAATGGAAGAGAATGGTATAAGCCAAGAATTCTGACCCTTATGTGTATTCCTCTTGTCTGATTGACACTTGAAGAGGAGAGAGGACTCCTCTTCC